TATGCCCTATTTTACTTGATTCATCTTTTATATAGCCATTGAAAACGTCAAACCACTACACAACCCCAAGATCAGGTGTACCACGCCGGAGTAGATAGAGCCCTTGTTCTCTCTAAGGTTTTTTGGTTGTATTGGGTTGTTAGAGACTTCCACTCTTTCTTCAATTTAATTTATTTTAATTCACACTTAACGGCCAATACTAGATTTTTAAACTACCGAAGTTCCCATCGTCCTTTTCAGTGGTTTGACGTTTTCAATCAATCAAGTAAAACAGCGTTGATAGCTTTGACAAAATTCAAAGTATGGAGGGTCTGAGAGTTGCTGTGTGGGATTATGATACTGATTCTGTGCACAATGAGATGGTTTTGAAGAAATGGCTATCTGCCAACAGCAGTTACGTTCTCATTAAAAACTGGTGCAGTGATTTTGTTAGAAGAAGGAACTTGAAGGTTGAAGACGAAATTGCCATGTTCTGGGATGCAAACCTTTCAAGGTTCAACTTTCGCGTTCTTAACAAGAATTAATTCCACCGGCTGCTCCAAAGTTTTGAAAGCTACAGAGAAGCCATTTTGTATATATACATGGTAAAAAAATAAAGAAGATGTGTGTGCCCATAGGCAGGTAAAAAAGATGTGTTGTGGTGTTTTTTTTTTTTTTTTTTTTTTCAAAGTTTGCTAGCTTAATGTTTCCAGAAAACCAAATAGTGAAATAAAAACTTGTTTTGTTAGACACACGTGTTCCTTTGTTTAAATTGCCTTTAATTCATCTTGTTTTGTTTGAATCAAAGTTGAATAAGGAAATTTTTAATATTCAGATGCCAAACATTATAAAACTTTAATAAACATATTTAATCTTGTCAATGTCCTAATATTATAAGACTCTTTAAATGCCAAATTGACCATTATTAGGGAAAAAAAAAAAAAAAAAGGGGTTAACCTAATGTTACTTCATTAATTTCATGATTAAATATAATCCATCCAAAGTGAACTTAAAACTTGTTTAATTTCATGATTCTATAATATGAGATCAAATGTCAGGTTGGTTGCTTGGAATAGGTCAATTTAAAGATTAAAACCCACCCAGTTTGCACTTCCTAATTAAGCTTCTCTTACACATATAGTCCAAAGAGTCAAATTGACAATTATTAGAAAGAAAAAATAAAAAAGAAACGGTTAACTTGTACTCAAAAAGTCAAATGGGCTGTTTTGACTAACTTGGTAAAGTATATAAATTAATTATGTTAAGAATCAAGGATACATTACTATATTAATAATGTGAATTAATTATGTTAAGAATCAAGGATACATTACTATATTAATAATGTGAGTTCCCATTATTTCAAATAATTAATCATATGGTTATTGTACTTCATTCATTTCTTGATTGAATATAACGTATCAAAACTGAACTTGTACTTAGCATTGAAATTAAGCAACTACTTCTACTCTTACTTCGTACTGTAGCACTATATTATTCCCATCTAATAATAATGTAACCTCTATTTTCTTGATGAGAAAAGAAAATCATGAAACTGGAAGGATGATACCATGCGTATTCGTTACTATTGATTGGTCAAAAAACTAAGTTATTCAGGACCTTGTTTCTGCAAACCATCAGGACGACACCAATCCTAATGCTGAATTTTTTTACTGATGATTTCTCTCAGCTCTCTAGTGTAAATGCATCCAATTTTCTGTGTTGATCAAAATCAATAACCATGGCGAAGCAACCAATAGCCTGCGGTCCATTCAGTTCTCAGCTCTAATTAACCTTGTTGGATTGGACCCACTAAAACTGACACAGCTGTAAGTAGGAGTGTTCGGTTCCGTGTACCCTATACTTTTTGAAGGAACCGGAATCGGAATCGGAACCGACGGTTCCTTGAAATTTGGAACCAGAATCGGAACTGACGGTTCTGGTTCCTAGGTATCCAGAACCAGAACCTGTAACAACGGTTCCGGTTCCGGTTCTGGGTATCCTATAAAATTACCATGACCCCCCAAAAGTTTTTAAAATGGCAAAAAAACCCTTAAAAACTTACAAATACCCCCCATCTGGCACTTGTTAACAAAAATAAAATTACAAATTATAAATTCAAAATGACAAATTCCATTACTTTGTAAAGGTAGATTCTCAAAAGTCAAACCAACTTCTTTAAATGTTATGAAATATAAATATAAATGTATTCACATTACTTTTTCTACAAAAGTTTTTATTAACCCCCCTAATACTTAATTTTATTTTATATTAGTCTCGGTTCCTGGTTCCTGGTTTTAGTTTTGGTTCCTAACTATAGGAACCAGAACCGTACAGTAATGGTTTTAAAAATTTGGAACCGAAACCTACCCATTGACGATTGGTTCTGGGTAGGAACCGAAACCAAACTCAGGATATCCACCGGTTCCGATTCCAACCGGTTCATTTGAACACCCCTAGCTGTAAGTCATAGTTTACGTAAGCAAAATCAGCTATTTTCTCATTAATTAATCCAAGACGCCATAGAAATGTGAATATACGTCTGAACGTTAAAATACCATTTGAAATTCTATTTTTAAAAGAAAAGGTTAGTTTCAATCGATGGAAGATAGATTCGATCAACCAGAAGAAAATAATCATAAAAAAGTAAGTGTTCAGTTTATTTATTGTTTCTTTAAATTATAATAAGAAGGTTATAATTCACTTGATTTTGTTATTAGATCTTTTATGCTTCTTCATTGCTCAACATCGAATGCATAGAGATGTTGACCACTGGTTAGATTGATTTAATCAAATAGATAAACATGCTTGACATAAGAGAAACGTCATCTTTATCTCCTTAAACATTTGATTGATGAAGACTAATAGGACTTCAGCAATTTTCAATGTCTTTGCCAGCCCTTCAAATTTTATTTTAAAGTAATTTTCATTCTATATTTCTATTTATTGATAGATTAAAAAAACTAAAAAAAAAAAAAAAAAAACCTCTTCATTAAAAATGATTACTTTTTGTTTGGTTAGTGTAGAAATTAAATTTCAAAATCTATTTTCATATTTAATAATACTTATGAAGCTGGAAATTCATGTCCGTAACTACAAACCATCAAAAGCTTTTGAAAAATAAGATGAAGCTTTTATTTGCTTCTGCTAATTAGCAAAAATAATTAACTTTCTCTTTCTATAATTGTAACTGATTAGCATATAGTCCAAATCTTCTTGTCTATATCGATATCAAAAAGAGCCTTAATACAATGTATTGATGAATTTTATTAACTAAAATTGAAAATCTATTATTTATTGGCAGTGTTTTCTGAAAGTGACCACAGCAACAGTACAAATTAACCTTGTTGGATTGCACCCGCTGAAAGACTCACTAAAACTGAAACAACTCTAAGTCAAAGTTTATGTAAGCAAAACCAGCTATTTTCTCATTAATTAACTGAACGTGTTTATAATTCAGTTTGAAATTCTATTTTTAAGAGAAAAACCATTTTCAAGCTATGGAAGATCAACCAGAAAGAAAATAATCATTAAAAAAAAAAAAAAAGAGTTAAGTGTTTAGTTTATTTTTTTATTTATTGCTTCTTTCTTTCTTTCTCTAAATTTTCTTTTGTTTAAGTTTGACCTTTGTTAATTAAATTAAATTGAAAAAAGAGGGATGAATTTATTACTTTCTAATGCTATACAAGTTATAATATATAAGTAAAACTAAAATTGGTATATGCTATTCCATACAGTAATTGTAAAACTTGGAAATTAAAGCTTGAAATGCAGAGATTTTAATACAATCCATGTCTTTATATTTTGCATTTCAAATGCAGATTTTACAAGCAAACTAACCCATGTCTTTATCCATATAGAGCAGTTATTTAGAAATATCCATGCCTTCTCTTTTACCTTCTTTACCTGTTTGTATCAGACAAAATACATAAATTTTGATATTAAAATTTTGAATGATGTTGATATGCCCTATTTTACTTGATTCATCTTATATATAACCATTGAAAACGTCAAACCACTACACAACCCCAAGATCAGGTGTACCACGCCGGAGTAGATAGAGCCCTTGTTCTCTCTAAGGTTTTTTGGTTGTATTGGGTTGTTAGAGACTTCCACTCTTTTTTCAATTTAATTTATTTTAATTTAATTAACAAAGGTCACCGAAGTTCCCAACTTCCTTTTCAGTGGTTTGACGTTTTCAATGGTTATATAAAAGATCAATCAAGTAAAATAGGGCATATCAACACCATTCAAAATTTATGCATTTTGTCTGATACAAACAGGTAGAGAAGGTAAAAGAGAAGGCATGGATATTTCTAAATAACTGCTCTAAGGTTTTTTTGGTTGTATTGGGTTGTTAGGTTGGTGTCCACGTGTTGGTTTGCTTTCCTTTGAGCCATCCTTGTATTGATTCTTGTCGGTTTGTAGTCAAAACCGGCCATTACAGCTTTACTTATCCCCAAAAAAAAAAAAAATGTAGAAGAGTGAATCCTTAGCAACAGTGAAAGCTGAGAACAAACATAAAAGCAATAAAAAAAATCTAGTACGGCAACTTGTAGCTAGAAAAGATAGACGATCCAGATTAGTGATTAATGTAAACAAAATCAGGGACTTTGGTAGAACAACTTCGTAAAACAAATCTGAAGGCACGACATATTCTCAAATCTGAATTATTGCAACAAAGTCACAAACTCAATCCCTACAACTAAAGTCACAAACTCAATTCCTACAACCAAAGTCAAAAACTCAATTTCTGCAAACGAAGTTATGAAAAGTTTTTTGATCTGGTCAATAAAAACTATAATAATGACACTTAATGGAAGAGATTCCTGTGATAATAATATAATAATGAGTCATGACGAATCTTATAAACTTTCATTTTCTCTCTATAAATAACTTGCTCTAGTTGCTACTTGCTTGCCACCATAAATCGAAACCCTTCAAAAATCTCTCTCTCTCTCTCTCTCTCTCTCTCTCTCTCTCTCTCTCTCTCTATCTCTTAACAGAAAAAAGAATCACCATCTATGGCGAAACACCCAATAGCCTACCCTCCATTCAGTTATCCGTTTGCTGCCACTTCTCCTGCGACAGAACTAACGCTTTTCGATAAAGCTTGGACTTGGCCAAGTGACAAAACAGAAGCAACGACACATGTCCCTAAAACCTTAGCTGAGGCTGATATAAGCAAAAGAGAGGTAACTGCCAGAATTAGGAAGATGAAACATTACAGCCCCAGAGAAGAGGAAGAGGAAAGGAGCAAGGGTGTTTCTACACAACTGGGGCTCCATCCCTATAATCCTTGGAACATAGTTAAAACTCTTACCAAAAGTGATCTGGGCCATCAGAGCAGGCTTTTGTTACCAAAAGATTTGATCGATGACTATGTTAAGCCGCTCATGAGCCCTGATAGCTTTGACAAAATTCAAAGTAGGGAGGGTCTGACAGTTTCAATTTTGGATAATGATACTGATTCTGTGCACAACGAGATGGTTCTAAAGAAATGGCGATCTTCCAACAGCAGTTACGTTCTCATTAAAAACTGGGGCAGTGATTTTGTCAGGCGAAGAAATTTGCAGGCAGGAGACGAAATTGCCATGTTCTGGGATGCAAGCTATCCAAGGTTGAACTTCCGTGTTCTACACAGGAATTGATTCAGAAACTGCACCGGCTGCTCCAAAGTTTTGAAAGCTACAGAGAAGCCATTTTGTATATATACATGGTAAAAAAATAAAGAAGATGTGTGTGCCCATAGGCAGGTAAAAAAAGATGTGTTGTGGTGTTTTGTTTTTGTTCAAAGTTTGCTAGTTTAATGTTTCCAGAAAACCAAATAGTGAAATAAAAACTTGTTTTGTTAGACACACGTGTTCTTTTGTTTAAATTGCCTTTAATTCATCTTGTTTTGTTTTAATCAAAGTTGAATAAGGAAATTTTTAATATTCAGATGCTAAACATTATAAGACTCTTTAAATGCCAAATTGACATATTTAATCTTGTCAATGTCCTAACATTATAAGACTCTTTAAATGCCAAATTGACAATTATTAGGAAAAAAAAAAAAAAAAAGGGTTAACCTATTGGTACTTCATTAATTTCATGATTAAATATAAGCCATCTAAAGTGAACTTAAAACTTGTTTAATTTCATGATTTTATTATATGAGATCAAATGTTAGGTTGGTTGCTTGGAATAGGTCAATTTAAAGATTAAAACCCACCCAGTTTGCACTTCCTAATTAAGCTTCTCTTACACATATAATCGAAAGAGTCAAATTGACAATTATTATAAAGAAAAAAGAAAAAAAAAAAAGAAACGGTTAACTTGTACTCAAAGAGTCAAATGGGCTGTTTTGACTAACTTGGTAAAATTTAGAAATTAATTATGTTAAGAATCAAGGATGCATTACTATATTAATAATGTGAGTTCCCATTATTTCAGATAATTAATCATAATAATGTAGCCTCTATTTTCTTGATGAGAAAAGAAAATCATGAAACTGGATGGATGATTCCATGCATATTTGTTACTATTGATTGATAAAAAAACTAAAGTTCTTCGGGACCTTGTTTCTGCAAACCATCAGGACGACACCAATCCTAATGCTGAATTTCTTTACTGATGATTTGTCTCAGCTCTCTAGTGTAAATGCATGGATTAAAAATGCATCCAATTTTCTGTGTTGCTCAAAATCAACAACCATGGCGAAGCAACCAATAGCCTGCGGTCCATTCAGTTCTCAGCACTAATTAACCTTGTTGGATTGGACCCACTAAAACTGAAACAGCTGTAAGTCGAAGTTTACATAAACAAAATCAGCTATTTTCTCATTAATTAATCCAAGACGCCATAGAAATGGAATATACGTCTGAACGTAGTTTAAAATATAGTTTGAAATTCTATTTTTAAAAGAAAAGGTTAGTTTCAAGCTATGGAAGATAGATTCGATCAGCCAGAAGAAAATAATCATAAAAAAGTAGGTATTTTGTTTATTTATTTTTTCTTTCTTTCTTTAAATTCCCTTTGCACACCCACCTCCACCGCAAGAGCAGCCTTCTTATTATAATTTACTTGATTTTGTTATGAAATAGGATTAGTTAGATCTTTTAAGCTCTTTCATTACTCAATATGGAATGCATAAAGATGTTGACTACTGGTTAGATTGATTTAATCAAATAGATAAACATGCTTGACACAAGAAAAACGGCATCTTTATCTCCTTAAACATTTGATTGATGAATTAAACAACTCATTTAGACTCAATTAAAGTTGCTCTTCCTTTCTTCTGAATTCCATATTATCCATTTACAGAATTGAAAGATATACACTTTCTAACTGATATATTTTTAAACCCTAAAACATGAATTTTAAACTTACTATTCAAATTTTAGTATTGGAAAATTCGATTACAATTAATTAAACTTGTTCATGAACCTGGAAGGATGCTACCATGCATATTCGTTTCTATTGATTGATAAAAATTAAAAAAAAAAATAAAAAGAAAAAGAAAAAAAAATCATTAAGAATGATTACTTTTAGTTTGGTTAGTGTAGAAATTAAATTTCAAAATCTATTTTCATATTTAATAATACTTATGGAGTTGGAAACTCATGTCCATAACTAAAAATCATCAAAAGCTTTTGAAAAATAAGATGAAGCTTTTATTTGCTCTCTTTACACTCTCATCACTACTATTGCATCTGGTAATTAGCAAAAGTAAATAACTCTCTTTCTGTAATTGTTATAAATATTTATGAAATGATATTTTATTAAATCTTAATTGGCATATAGTCCAAATCTTCTTTTCTATATAGAATTTTCTATATCGTTATTGGCAGTGTTTTCTGAAAGTGACCACAGCTCCAATACCAATTAACCTTGATTGGACCAGCCACTAAAACTTTTTGGGCAAGAAGATGAAATAGCTGATCTAGCAGGGCAATTCACTCTCTTAGTTATTACTCAATTGTTTTCATTTGCCATCAATTTTCCTACCCAAAAGTTCCTTCAGGCTCAAAGCAGGGTTAGCATCATTGCTTGGATTGGGTTTGTAGCTCTGATAATTCACATTGTACTGCTTTATCTTTTCGTTTATGTATTTGATTCGGGGAACAACTGGTGCGGCTATAGCATTTGATATCACAGCTTGGGAAATAACCATTGCGCAAGTTATATATGTGATGGGTTGGTGCAAAGAGGGGTGGCATGGCTTCTCTTGGTCAGCATTTCATGACATTTGGGCGTTTGTTCGGCTTTCAATTGCCTCAACTTATATATGTGATGGGTTGGTGCAAAAAGGGGTGGCATGCTTTGCCTAGAGATTTGGCATATGATGAGCATTATCATTCTCACTGGCCACCTTGATAATGCTGTAATTGCAGTTGGTTCCCTTTCCATATGGTGAGTTCATCCTAATAACTTGTACAAACTGTTTTTGCCCCCATATATTTTCCATTTGTGGTGCCAATCAATCCACCCCCTCAGAATTTACTCGTTTGGTATAATGTTTCAGCATGAACTTGAACGGGTGGGAAGCTATGTTATTCATTGGAATAAATGCTGCAATAAGGTAAATCACAGGGTCAATCTATCAGATTGCACTATACCAAATGCATATTTTCTTTAAACTTTAACATTTCTGACTAATTTTTCTCTGTTTTCACATTTTCAGCGTCCGCGTCTCTAATGAGCTTGGATTGGGACGTCCTAGATCAGCCAAATACTCAAGTCTATGTGACAGTATTTCAATCTCTTCTCATAGGATTTTTTTTCATGGTAGTTATATTGATAACGAAGGACTATTTTGCCGTCCTTTTCACAAGCAGCAAAGATCTGCAAATTACCGTGGCTAAACTAGCATTCCTCCTTGGTATCACCATGGTCCTTAACAGTGTCCAACCAGTAATATCAGGTAACAATCTGAGTTTCCATTGAAACTAGCACCTTCATCTTCTTCTTAACGAATCTCCTTTGATTACTTCTCTCTTCTCTCAGGTGTTGCTATTGGTGGTGGATGGCAAGCATTGGTGGCTTACATCAATCTAGGTTCGTACTACGTATTTGGACTCCCTCTTGGTTACCTCCTTGGTTATGAAGGAAAATTGGGCGTTAAGGTAAAGTATTTTTCCGCAATGTTTGTTTGCTCTGTTTTTCATCAATGATTTCCTGTGAATTTGGCTAATATTTTTCGCTTATACAGGGACTTTGGTCGGGCATGATATGCGGAACTGCATTGCAAACATTGCTGCTCCTGATTGTACATTACAGAACCAACTGGAGCAAGGAGGTAACTAAAATCTGTAATGCAAATTACTTGATCATTAAGCATAACAGAGTGACTTTACATTGTGTCTACTCAAATTGAGCTTTTGTGTTGTACATTTTATTCTTCTGAAACGAGAATCAGAATTCAGAATGAGTGAAGTAAAGGTATATAAAGATTATGAATTGACTTTCAGGTCGAACAGTCAACAGCGCGCATGCGGAAGTGGGGCGGTCAAGCCATTGATTCAGGGAAGAATGAAGATAGCATCTGAAACACTGCATGTCTCTATCCTTATAGAGTATGGCTTCTGCTTACCTTCCCATAAAAGTGTTTGTATCAGAAAGAATGCAAAATAATTGCAAGAACCATCCCACTGTACAAATCGGATAGGTTTGATTTTAACATTAATTAATCAATAAAATAAATTAAATATATATTTTTTCAAATAAAACAGATGAACCATAGCATCCACTGTCGGGTCCGAACTGCCATTTTCGATGGAAGCACCTAGGTTGTGTAGATCGATGGATTTCGAACTCCGAGCTATTTTAGCAGTTGCCAGTGGTGGTTATCAGAACCGGTGATTATAATTCGACGTTAGGAGTTTTTGGCACTTTTCAATTATTAATTTTTTTTTTTTTTATAAATTACAAACAAATTCTTTGTATATAAAATTATTTAATATAGTTTTAAATATTTATCAAAATAATTTTCCTAAGATATACTTTTTGGTCATTATACAGGTAAATTCTAATTTGAAATCTAATTTAGAAACACATAGTTATAGTTTTTGAAACTCATAGCAATTTCAAAAATTAAGTTTACTAAATATCCTATAAATTATTTTTAACTTTAAATATTTTTAAAATTAAATAAGAATTGATTATATTTGAAATTACAACAATCACAAACTAACTCTTAATACTATTGTTTAAAAAATTTATAAACATATCATAAGACTCAATTAAAAGGCTTAAGATAATAATACTAATATAAAAAAACACTAAACTGATTACAAAAATGAAAAAAAAAAAAACTGAATTAATAAATTATATCCAAATCAATCTAATATTTCTCCCAAAGCATATGAGTCCCTTTGTGTAAGCCTCTTCAGCTTTTCTTATGCGGTAATGAACAGTGATGAAATAGTGAACAGTGCTGAATAGTGCCAACGATGTCAGAATGCGACGAATTTTGGCATGACACTCTGAAATGGTCAAATAAGTTAGGCTCATGGAAAAGCCACAAGTTTAGTCGTTTTTAGCCTTTTGGAATTGTTTAGATGGGTTTTTAGGCATTTTTTTAATGTTTTTCAAGGGTGTGTTTGCAAACTTCTAGAGTTTTTGGTTTATTTGTAACTTTTTGAATGTTTTGGGACCTTTTAACTAGTTGTTTAATGTTCTTTTTCTTGGTTTTTTTATTAGGGGAAACTATAAAAAGGCTGTTATAGCCGTAATAAGGCAGTTTTTGATGATTATTTTTATTAAATGAAAGTTTAAAAACCTTTTGTGGTTGCTTGTTCAATCCAGTATCTGAATTTGATACATTTGGTGGTGGTTTTTCGTATCAATTATTCCTTGATTATTCAGTCATCTTATTATTTCGGCATCATTTGATATCAAAGCACATGTTTAATACTTGTTGCTGAACAAACTCGTGGTAGAGGTCGGTGAGGATGCGACAGTGGTCATGGAATGGCTTTTGGGGAGGACACCGCTGATCATCCACATAACCACCAAGATATAGAGATGGACGATCTGAGGAGACAAATTCAAGATCTTCAATGATGTCTTGAGGCAGGAGTCATTAGTTGAAACCGACGAGGAGGAGGAAGACGTAAATCCTTTTAGGGGTTCCGTCAATGGGCGTAGTCAAGGATTTTGGCCACAAAACCAATAGTTTTCTCCAAATATTGGAATTAAGCTTGAGATTCCAGAGTTTGATGGTAAGGCTCATCCTGATGAGTTTATTGATTGCTTGAATACGGTTGAAGGAATTTCGATTTAAAGGAATTTTTGGAAGTACAAAAAGTGAAATTGGTTGAAATAAAATTGAGGAAACATGCTTCGATTCAGTGGGAACATATTAAGAAGCAACGGTCCAAGGAGGGAAAACAGAAAATTGTGAGTTAGGATAAGATGAAAAAGTTGTTGCGACATAAGTTTCTTCCTGAACATTACCAACAAGAGGCTTTTATAGAATATCGTAATGTTAAACAAGGTGGTATGTCGGTTGAACAGTTTACAAATGAATTTGACTGGCTCAAAATGAGATGTGATGTGGCTGAGGAAGATGAACAGATGATTACTTGGTATTTGGGAGGTCTTTGGTATGAAATTTCAGATGTTGTCCAATTTTAGCAACACTAGACGTATGAAGATGTTTGTCGACTCGCCATGAAGGTTGAAAAACAAGTTAAGGCGAAGAACAGTGGCGGTTCACGGTATTCAAATCATTTTTTAGGAAATGAGTATTCAGGGAGTCGAGGAAGTTCAACATCTTTGAAACCAACGACAGTGGTCTGAGTTATATATATATAGACTATTACTTAGCTCTGATGCCATGTGTGTGTAGATCGTAAAAAGCAATATGTATACACACATATGGTCTGAGAACCAATTAATTGTCAAAATACTGCATTATTTTAGGATCATTGTAGCAAATTACTATTCGCATTACTATTCATTCACAGTAGCAATTTACGATTATCTGTGACCCTGTTCATTTCTTAGTTAAGCTTAGGGGTGGGCAAAAAATAGGGTAGAACCAGAACGACTGGTACCCGGTTTCGGTTCCTTTCCTACCCAGACCGACTGCCACAGATTGGTTTCGGTTCCGAAAACTTGAAACCGACATTGTGCAGGTCCGGTTCTGGTTCCACCACCTTAGGAATCAGAATCGAACCTTGGAACTGGGGACTAAATCAAAAAAATGCAGGACCATTGTAAAATTTTACAATTCAATTAAAGTTCTATCTTATTTCTTCTAAATTTTCTCTGTTTTGTTTGTTTTATTCACAGTGAATTTAATTGATGTCTTGCCTTGTTATTAAAATTAATTCACCATTCTTACTAAAAAAAACTTTATTTTCTATTCATTTTCTTCTAATCACCTATATGACCACAACACAAAAACCATTTTTTTTTAATAAAGTAGCTCTATTTTTTTTCCTCCCTTTTCTTCTTATTGATATTAAACACAAAACACACACACAAAAAAAAAAAGGAAAAACATGAAATCCAAATCCAACAAATTTTGCCATTTAACATTAATATTAACAGAAACCCAAATCTTCAATTTTCATGCAAAAAATCAATTTGGCATAAAAACTTCATTATTCATACAAAAAATCACAAGCATTAAAAAAAAAAAAAAAATCAATTTGGCTAGACTTTCAAATTCTTCTTGCTATTTTTTAAAATTCGACACAAATCCTCTTCTAATAAATGCCAAAAAGGAGAAGGGGAAGAAAGATAAGAGAAGAAAAGACATCTACAATAGGGTGTTCTTTGGTTTCTCTTGGCTAGGGTTTTGTGGGGGGAAGAAAGATAAGATGAGAGGAGAGAACTTGGCTTGTTTGTTCGAAGATGAAGGATAGAGAGATAGGCATACTTTTAGGGCTAGCTTGACTAGGGTTTTGTGTGGGGAAGAAGAAGAGAGAAGAGAAAGAATTTGGCTTAGTTTGTTTGTAAGAGGCTTTAGGGTTTTAGCTATAAAAAGGTTTTTCAAAGTGATTGATACATGAGTTATAATCTAATGGTCAAAATTCGTTGTGAGATGGGGGTGTATTTGAAACTTTTAAGGGTTTATTTGTCATTTTTGAACCAAATATGGACCATTTTGTAATTTTTATAGGTACCCGGAATCGGAATCAGAACCGTTGGTTCTGATTCCTGTTCCATTTTTTCAGGAATTGATCGGTTCTAGTTTTGGTTCCTATTCCTTCGAAAAAGGGCGGGTCTAGTTAAGCTAAGAATTAAATATCTATAAGGTTTTATTTATATATACTACAACGAAACGGATTTCAAACCACACTTGAATTCATTGTAATAATTGCAAAAGATAAATAGATGCACTGTCTTGAATTATGATGACCGGTCTTGATATTGGTAGATAAAATGGTTTTGATGATAGAAGGAATCTTTGATGACGTCTGCTTGATAGAAAATATCCATCGAAAGTACCCAAATTATTTGAAAAATAAAGTGATGATCATTCCTTTTGAGAATCTTGAGAATAATCTAAAATAACATTGTTACATGTGTCTTCATTGTTCAAGTCTATCTTGGAAATTGGCAAAATTTATCTTCAATATGCAAGTCTTCAGGTTTTTTAGTACTGTCGTTATTACTTGATTTAGCTATTGTAGGTGATCCAATAGTCATGAGAATTTCGTTAGGAATTTTCTTCTTAATTCTCTAAATTTTGGAGGTGATAGAGCAGTGGTAATAAACTACATCAACTAAATCAAGTAGTAACGATAGTACTCAAGAACCGAAGACTGGCATATTGAAGATAATTACTTTGCGTATTTCCAGTATGACTTGACAATGAAGACACGTGTTAGATTGGGAGCTGAATTGTCATATTTACAAAGGTTTAAGATTGACTTTTATATTTAGTCCCTCATACTTTCTAAAAGTAATAAAATAACCTTGTGTATGCAAGCCATTTAGGCTTGCGAGCCTATCGAGCCGAGCCTTGTGGCTGATTGAACTCAGCTTGATTTTTATAACGAGTTTGAGCCAAGTTTTTTTCGAGCCCTATACGAGCCGAGCGGACTTATGAGTAGCTTGGCTCAATTGACAACCCTAACTACAACAAACATATTAGGACAAGAAGTAACATTTGAATTTGTTAATTCTCCATTAAATAAAGATGTTAATCAATTAAAAGACGTGTCAATATCAAAGATAATCTTATCAAAACATAGTCTAGACAAAAAAATTTAAATACCTTCATCAATAAAACATGTTTTTATCTTTTTGCATTGAAATTCAAGTTTTTCAAACAATGTTTTAACATGATACAAAATTTAAAAGCCTTTTCCCTAAATCCTTTTCCCTCAACCTTTATAAGAGAGACACTTTGAGAGAGAGAAAAATGATGGCACTCCCATCAAACCCAAAGCTGCTCCTCAATTAAAAGCATCATACAATATATCCTTAACAACCTATTACCCCACTTTCAAAACAAGCCAAAACCAATATACAGAAAACCAGCATCACTCAACCTGATCTGATGTAGTATGAACAGGACCAGCATATTAGGGGTCTCATCAGTGTCCAATGGTGGCATGATAAGTAACGTGTCTTTTGGTGGAAGATCCACCTAGTTTGAAACACTTCCCCGTGGATCTCTACCAAATAAAACCCACCAATAATTGGTGGAGGTCCTAGAGGGAGTGTTTCTTCTAATTTATGAAAGTGGGATTGTCAGATTTGTACTCTATGTACAGAATAGAAAAGAAATGGGAGAAGAAATTAGAAAAAAACAAGTGCAAAATTGAGAGAAAATATTCAATTCATATCATGTTCAATTTTGCATCTCAACAATGAACTAATAAGACCAAGCCTTCAACACTATCAATTAAGAAACTAGTAAAATATTTAGCATACTGCAATTTTCAGCAATAACAGTGGCGTTATCAAGTCTTTTAGTGTATACATATGTGTGTGTGTGTGCACCTAATTCCTTTTTCTATTTAAAGAATCTATGATAATACATGGATTGTAAAAGTATTTGCTTTATTACTTGCAATAAGTCTTATACAAAATGTTTAATTCATGATGATTTCTTCTTTAGGTATTCAAGTGTACAGGAAGTTTTACACAGAAGAGAAGGAAAAGTCCAATGGTGTCCTTGCTATTTGTGTTGCAAAATGGCCTGTCCAGCCCTTCTTTCATATGGCTAGAATTCTCTCTGTGAGTGTGCTTAGTGTCTCCCCTTTTGCCATTTGTTTCTACTGTTGCAATTTCTGGAGATGATTTGAGTCAAATAAGTTTGGAATGTACGATTTTATGTTGCTGATTTCATACACCAAGTATCCAAAGGGGAAAAAAAGACTTTAGTACTACAGTATCTATGCGTCAAGTCAATAAAATTCTATCCGTCACATGATCATTTTAAAAACTATAAATTGTAATGGTGTTAGGATTGATGAAAGAGAAAATAATATACACATCTATTATGCATTCATTGATTTGACATATAGATAATGTGATATACCTGATGATTCGAGACTTCTCTCAAATAGAAATTGGTATTGTGTTGTACAATATCTGTATCTTTGTTGTTACATTGTTCGTTGTCGAAATTAGCAGTGTTATGTAGAGCAGTGCTGAATTGATTATCTAACCTTTGTTACAGGGATTGAGTTATGAAGGTCTTCAAAGCCTTCTAAGTCTCTATGATCGCACTTCAAAGGTTGCAGATTCATTGCTTCAAGCAAGACTTAGATCTGAGCCAACTGTGACAATGATGTGATAATTTGTTTGTTTTCTTTCCGTATTTGCGTACATAGCCTTTGTCAAGAAATTCTGTCATATTCAATTGCAAATTTGAGACTTTAACATTTTTAACACAAAATAGAGAAATTCATTCTTTGTTAGTTTTATGATAAGGATTCTCTTCTGAAATGAGTTTTATTCGTAGATATAAGATTTGTGTCGGCAATGGATGAAAAGAAATATAAGATTTTGCAAATAGTAGTTTATATGCAAAGTTTATCGGTAAAATCCTTCAAAATGGAAATAAATTCGAATTTAGAGAGGATTAAATTCTTAAGATATCTGAAATGTAAAACATAAATCCTACAAATTCTTCTATTTTTAAGAAATGTAAATTTTTGTTCCGACTAAGGCACTCCAAGTCCTTGGAAAAAGATTACAATTCTTGTTATGTCTTCAAGAAGAGGAGACTTTCATAAGAAATTGCTACTAACCAATTTGTGAATTCAAAATTTACTTGGGAATATGTAAACTAGAACTATCCAAGTATTTTATGTAAAATATGAACATATTACTAAAATTCATACACCATTAACCATTGGAATTTTAGCAAGAGGGGTGTAGTCTTGAAATCCTTTCTCTAAAAATAACCAATTCCAAAATTATAGAAAATAATATCCAGCATGTGAATGAAATGACTTACATACCATCCAATGTCCTTTCGTGTGTTCATCAAATTCGTCAACCAAATAGTTGGATAGTTTTTCAAAACATTAATGCAGGTTGACATTTTTCAAAATAACCTTTTATGTTTCAAAAATACCTAAATACCCCTTTGCAAAAGCAACTATAAAACCATAAAAATATCCTCTTCTGTTACCCACCTTTCTTCTCATCCAAACAGAAAATGTAGGAAAATGAAAGAAACAACAAGAGGTAATTCCAGATCTACTCTCTCTCTGATTTAATTACTTTAAAAGCTTTCTTAATTCAAACCCATCTGGATTCTGACAACAATTTTTCTATTAACAGCCACTAGAAATCTGGTAGCTTCGTCTCAGCAATCAACAAATCTTTTGCTCATTTCAATTATTGGAATGGGGGATCATGGGAAAATTAAACTCAACTCAATGGTAGGGTTGTACTGGTAACGATACTTTTTATATGGGCTTTCTTGATATGACATTAATATTTTCTCATTCTCGCTTTGTTATCTTCTTTATTTTATTTTATTTAAATAAGAGATGATTGTAATTTTTTTTTTTTTCATTTAGAATTATGATTCAATTTTTTGTACAATTCTGAAGTTATATATATATATAGACCATTACTTAGCTCCGATGCCATATGTGTGTAGATAGTAAAAATCAATATATATATTACTTTTTACGATCCTGCACACATATGGTATAAGAACTGAGTAATTGTCAAAATACTCCATTATTTTAGGATCATTGTAGCAAATTACTATTCGCATTACTATTCATTCACAGTAGCAATTTACGATTTATCTGTGACACTGTTCATTTCTTAGTTAAGCTTAGGGGTGGGCAAAAAAATAGGGTAGAACCAGAACGACTGGTACCCGGGTTTCGGTTCCAGTTCCTACCCAGAACCGACTGCCACAGGATTGGTTTCGGTTCCGAAAACTTGAAACCGACATTGTGCAGGTCCGGTTCTGGTTCCACCACCTTAGGAATCAGAATCGAACCTTGGAACTGGGACTAAATCAAAAAATGCAAGGACCATTGTAAAATTTTACAATTCAATTAAAGTTCTATCTTATTTCTTCTAAATTTTCTCTTGTTTTGTTTGTTTTATTCACAAGTGAATTTAATTGATGTCTTGCCTTGTTATTAAAATTAATTCACCATTCTTACTAAAAAAAACTTTATTTTTCTATTCATTTTCTTCTAATCACCTATATTGAACACAACACAAAAACCATTTTTTTTTTAATAAAGTAGCTCTATTTTTTTTCCTTCCCTTTTCTTCTTATTGATATTAAACACAAAACACACACACAAAAAAAAAAAGGAAAAACATGAAATCCAAATCCAACAAATTTTGCCATTTAACATTAATATTAACAGAAACCCAAATCTTCAATTTTCATGCAAAAAATCAATTTGGCATAAAAAATCTTCATTATTCATACAAAAAATCAACAAAGCATTAAAAAAAAAAAAAAAAATCAATTTGGCTAGACTTTCAAATTCTTCTTGCTATTTTTTAAAATTCGACACAAATCCTCTTCTAATAAATGCCAAAAAGGAGAAGGGGAAGAAGAAGATAAGAGAAGAAAAGACATCTACAATAGGGTGTTCTTTGGTTTCTCTTGGCTAGGGTTTTGTGGGGGGAAGAAGAAGATAAGATGAGAGGAGAGAACTTGGCTTGTTTTGTTCGAAGATGAAGGGAATAGAGAGATAGGCATAACTTTTAGGGCTAGCTTGACTAGGGTTTTGTGTGGGGAAGAAGAAGATGAGAGAAGAAAGAATTTGGCTTAGTTTGTTTGTAAGAGGCGTTTAGGGTTTTAGCTAATAAAAAGGTTTTTCAAAGTGATTGATACATGAGTTATAATCTAATGGTCAAAATTCGTTGTGAGATGGGGGTGTATTTGAAACTTTTAAGGGTTTATTTGTCATTTTTGAACCAAATATGGACCATTTTGTAATTTTATTAGGTACCCGGAATCGGAATCAGAACCGTTGGTTCTGATTCCTGTTCCATTTTTTCAGGAATTGATCGGTTCTAGTTTTGGTTCCTATTCCTTCGAAAAAGGGCGGGTCTAGGTTAAGCTAAGAATTAAATAAATCTATAAGGTTTTAATTTATATATACTACAACGAAACGGATTTCAAACACACTTGAATTCATTGTAATAATTGCAAAAGATAAAATAGATGCACTGTCTTGAATTATTGATGACCGGTCTTGATATTGGTAGATAAAATGGTTTTGATGATAGAAGGAATCTTTGATGACGTCTGCTTGATAGAAAATATCCATCGAAAGTAACCAAAATTATTTGAAAAATAATAAAGTGATGAGTCATTCCTTTTGAGAATCTTGAGAATAATCTAAAATAACATTGTTACATGTGTCTTCATTGTTCAAGTCTATCTTGGAAATTGGCAAAATAATTATCTTCAATATGCAAGTCTTCAGGTTTTTTAGTACTGTCGTTATTACTTGATTTAGCTATTGTAGGTGATCCAATAGTCATGAGAATTTCGTTAGGAATTTTCTTCTTAATTCTCTAAATTTTGGAGGTGATAGAGCAGTGGTAATAAACTACATCAACTAAATCAAGTAGTAACGATAGTACTCAAGAACCTGAAGACTGGCATATTGAAGATAATTACTTTGCGTATTTCCAGTATAGACTTGAACAATGAAGACACGTGTTAGATTGGGAGCTGAATTGTCATATTTACAAAGGTTTAAGATTGACTTTTATATTTTAGTCCCTCATACTTTCTAAAAGTAACTAAAATAACCTTGTGTATGCAAGCCAGTTTAGGCTTGCGAGCCTATCGAGCCGAGCCTTGTGCTGATTGAACTCAGCTTGATTTTTATAACGAGTTTGAGCCAAGTTTTTTTCGAGCCCTATACGAGCCGAGCTGACTTATGAGTAGCTTGGCTCAATTGACAACCCTAACTACAACAAACATATTAGGACAAGAAGTAACATTTGAATTTGTTAATTCTCCATTAATAAAAGATGTTAATCAATTAAAAGACGTGTCAATATCAAAGATAAATCTTATCAAAAACATAGTCTAGACAAAAAAAATTTAAATACCTTCATCAATAAAACATGTTTTTATCTTTTTGCATTGAAATTCAAGTTTTTCAAAACAATGTTTTTAACATGATACAAAATTTAAAAGCCTTTTCCCTAAATCCTTTTCCCTCAACCTTTTATAAAGAGAGACACATTTGAGAGAGAGAGAAAATGATGGGCACTCCCATCAAACCCAAAGCTGCTCCTCAATTAAAAGCATCATACAATATGATTCCTTAACAACCTATTACCCCACTTTCAAAACAAGCCAAAACCAATATACAGAAAACCAGCATCACTCAACCTGATCTGATGTAGTAATGAACAGTAATGAACAATGATGAACAGTGACAGTGTCATGTGAACAGTGCTAAATAGTGCCGATGATGTCAGCCTGCGACAAATTTTGGTGTGGCGCTCCGAAACGGCCAAACAAGTTAGGCTCGTGGCAAAGTCACAAGTTTTGTTATTTTTTAGCCTTTCGGTATTGTTTAGATGAGTTTTTAGGCCTTTTTTAATGTTTTTTAGGGGTGTGTTTGCAAACTTCTAGAGTTTTTTGGGTGCAGCTTCTGGAATGTTTTGGGATGTTTTTGCGATAATTGTTTAATGTTCTTTTTTATTAGGGCCAACTATAAAAAGGTTGTTATAGCCGTAATGGGCTGTTTTTTTAATGATTATTTTTATTAACAAAAGTTAAGAACCTTTTGTGGTTGCTTATTTAATCCAGTATCCGAACTTGATACAATTCAGTGGTGGTTTATCGTATCAATTGTTCCTTAATTGTTCAGTCTTTTTATTGTTTCGGCATCATTTGGTATCAGAGCCAAATTTAATACCAATGGCTGAACAAACTCGTGGTAGAGGTCGGCGAGGACGCAGCGGGGGTCGTGGAGTGGCTCTTGGGGAAGGCACTGTTGATCATCCACATAACCAGCGAGATATAGAGATGGACAATCTGAGGAGGCAAATTCAAGATCTTCAACGATGTCTTGAGCAAATTGAGACCCAAACAGAGGAGGAATCAGTAGAAGAAATTGATGAGGAGAAGAAAGATGTTAATCCTTTTGGGGGTTCCATCAGTGGGCGTAGTCAGGGATTCCGGCCACGAAACCAACAGTTTTCTCCAAATATTGGAATGAAGCTTGAGATTCCAGAGTTTGATGGTAAAGCTCATCCCGATGAGTTTATTGATTAGCTGAATACAGTTGAGAGAATTTTCAATTTAAGGGATTTTTCGGAAGTGTAAAAAGTGAAATCAGTCGCAATAAAATTGAGGAAACATGCTTCGATTTGGTGGGGACATATTAAGAAGCAACGGCTTAGGGAGGGAAAATAGAAAATTGTGAGTTGGGATAAGATGAAAAAGTTGTTGCAACGTAAG